GAACAACTGGCTGAGACCACGTGTCCCTGGGCCCCCAGCACCCCCACCAAGCCTTTGGCCTGTGTCTTGCTGACATCCTCCTGCCGAAGACCACAGGAACACATGTGTTTCAAGTTGGCTGTTAGAAAGGATTTATTCTAGGATTGGGGCTTGTGTTAATGATTTGGGGGAGATTCAAGGAAATGGGGCTTTGATCAGGGTTAGATGCTGTCGGGAGGCAGGGTAGTTGGGTGACTGGGTATCTCAATAAGTCTCATCTAGAAGAGAGGAGGCATGAGCCAGGCGATAGTCAGAATTGCACGAAGCGCCGTCACTCATGTCCGCCAGCAGAGGGGGCTGTTGTTCACTGTGGTTTGGACCAGGTCTGCTGGGATTCGGAAGTGGGCTTGCCAGCATCTCACTCCATCTCTGTCAGAGTGGTATGGCCGGTGTTGGTGCCCTGTGAACTCCTGTATGAGGGCATCACAGCCCCCCATGGGCTAAGGACAGGGCTAGGGTAAGACATGAAACGGCAGGGGGTGCCCCCAAACTCAGTCATTGAGATAAATGATATTTTAAGGTAATATTTATAAAAAGTGGCCTGACGGGGTCCACAGATGTCTGTGGTCTTCTTGGCCCGGAGGCTTTGTGGGGACAAGTGAGCCACAGGTTTCTCTTGTTTATTTAGTTTTTAACGCAGGCTGTGAGGGGACAGCAATCTTGCTTCCTGGGTCGGCGTCTGCATCTCCAGCTCTGAGCCCACCTTTCTCTCACTGTTGGGTGTCTGCCCTGCACAGATGGATGTACCTAGCTTCTCTGCCCAGCTAGACCTTACTGGGGCCCGGCCCACCCTCACGACTGGGCTCTAATTGCCAGGCCTCTGAGATGTTTGAAGACTCCGCAGATGATTCTAACATCCACGTCTATTCCTTGGACCATTTGTGAAGCTATTGGCTTGAGGGGAGGTGGACAGTATCCACATTGACGGGGACCCCCAGGGAGCCGGGGGTAGCCAGCCAGAAGCCTTACTTGCATGGAGACCCCCTACGCCCCCTGCAGGAACAACAGAGAAGTTTGGGGAGAGAACTTTGAGCCCCAGGACGAGAAGATTAAGCCTCCCCACTTCCCCGACCCCTGCCTGCAGATGATTCTCCTGAGCAGGGAGGTCACTGGAAGGAGGCTCCTGGGCTGGGCCTGAAGGTTGTTTCGTCTGAGTCTAGCCTGGGCTTTTCCCAAAATTCCTGGGGAAGCAAAGTCTCAAGATGGGGCCTCTGAATGGTTGACAGGGGAATAGAAGATACTATCTGGGGGGTGGGGGATGTGGGTGAAGACTGTGCCCCTTGGTGGTCTCGGTGGCCTTGGCAGAGAAGCAGTGGCTCTGATCTGGCCACTGAGTGACGGCGTAGACAGTGGCAGCAGTGTCTGTGAAGGCTGAGCAGCTCACCTGGGCCGCGGGCTCCATCTGAGAAGGGTGGGGTGCAGAAGACTCTGGTGGGGGGCGGTTATCCCTTGTCACTGGCCCAGGCCCTGGCTCTCTTCTCACTTCGCAGGACTGTGGGGCCGAGTGCAGGAAGCAAGCAAGGCTCCCAGTGCCCAAGTCCCTCCTGGGGGTGAGCCTCCTCTGAGGGCCCTGGAAGCCAGACAGCAAGATAACGCAGCAGCTGAGCCGGCCCTGATGGGCTAGCGGTTAACGTTCGGCGCACTCTGCTTCAGCGGACCGGGTTTGGTTCCCAGGCTTGGAACCACACCACCCGCCTTTTAGTAGCCATGCTGTGGCAGCAGCTCACATAGAAGAACTAGAAGCACCTACAACTAGAATACACAACTATGTACTGGGGCTTTGGGGAGGGGAAAAAAAGAAAGAAAAAGAGAGGACGATTGGCAACAGATGTTAGCTGAGGGAAAATCTTTCCCAGCAAAAAGAAGAGAAAATGCAGCAGCTCTTGGGCCACCTGGAGCCCACCCTTGGGACAACCGGCCCCCGGGGGCAGTGGTTCCTCAGCCAGAGGCTGAGAACCCCAGTAATTTTCCATGAGTCCTCGCACGGGCCGCCCAGGGACATCAGAACTGGTGCTGAGAGCCGCGGGGCAAGGCAGCACTGCTGTGTCCCGGGCGCTGTTTGCACGTCTCTGGACAGCTGGGGCAGGTTGGGGGGAGCGTCAGGAACAGATGAGGACTCAGCACCATCAGATAGGAAGGACAAGGATGGATCCCTCTAGCAGGGTGGAGGGTGTGGGGAGCACACGGAGCCCAGCAGCTGGAGGGCCGTCACCGGGCCCAGGTGTGGGGGGCGATGATGTTCTGCATCACAAGGACCTCACGTGACAAATCTCTTAACCTAATTCTTTTCCACTGGATGGTAGCAAACTCCATTCACCACATGTAGGGCAGTGGTGGTAAATGGAGAACTGTCCAGAACATGCCTGAAGCATTGTCACATCCAAGGAAGGGAGAGGCGGGACCGGGGGGAGCTGGGGCCGGTTCTGCAGTGGGTGAGGGAGGTTGGCCCCCAGCTGCAGGTTCTCGGGTGGAACCCATCCCTGCCGGGCACAGTGGCAGACACCAGACAGTCCAGGGGCGGGAGATGCCACAGTGGGAGGAGGTGAGGAGCCGCACGCAGGGATGGCAGAGGTAGGAAGAGATAGGCGAGGAATTCTTTGGAAGTACAGGTGGGCTGTTGCCATTGATCAGGCCCCTGCAAAGAGGCAGCAGACCCCTGCCCCAGAGGGAAGGCACCAGGCAGGTAGCGAGGGAGAGAGCAGAGCCCAGTATCAGAGCCATGACAGACGGCTGTCACCAAAGCATCAGCACCATGGCCTGAGGTCGAGGCCCAGGGCCCAGAGTGACCCCTATACCCCTCCAGCTAAGGTCTGGCCTGGCCTCAAAGGCTGGGCTCATTCTATGAGGAGAGAGGGAGACAGAGGTAGGACCAGGGAGACATCCAGGCGAGAACTTCTCAGGGTGGCAGAGTCCCCAGGAGAGGAGGCCACGCTTTACGTGCACTGCTTGGTCTGAGCTGTTCCTGGAAAGGTTCACACCCGAGGCCTGGAAGGTGCAGCTGCTGGGTGTTAGAAGGGGCACACAGGGCTTCGGATTCAGAGACCCCGACATCCTGATGGGGTCCCCTCTCAGCAGAGGCCATTGGACGGGTTACTTAACGTCTTTTTCCTTGCCTTTCCTTATCTGTAACACAGGGGTAATAGTATCTCACGTCCAGGGATAGTGTCAGCCCTGGGGACCTGGCCCCATGGGGGAGGCCCCAAAACAAAGCCTGTTGTTTTGATGGGAGCCAGTGTCTCTTTTCCAGTGGGAAGGGTGGCTCAGACCAAGAAATCCCACCTCTGTGCTGTCTGGTCCCTGCGCATTGTGAACGAGCATGCGGCAGGATAGTATCTGTGGCCTTAAAAGAGTGCCGTCAGCAGAGACAGCACAGGACGCGCAGCTTGCACAAGTGTGAATAACCAGTGGGTGCACACTGAGCCTCCCCCTGGAGACCCTCCTGGTGTCCGTGGAGAGCCACATGTCCCAGAAAGTGAGGCAGGACAACTATCCATCTAGGGGCTGTTGAGACTCCATGAGGCCTTGAGACGGAATCCGCACAGTGACACTAGTTCATTTACTCACAAAGCTGCCTCTGTTTTCAGAAGAAAAAAGTACAAGAAGCCCGCCCAGGGTGTCCCAGATGTGGAACCTGACTTGTGTCGGGGAAGAGGGAGAATCCCCCTCGGCCCTTTCCCTCCAGGTTCTTAGTGCTGGCCAAATAATTAAAAGACAGGTTAGCAGGAGAAAATAATACCAAGTTTAATAACATGTATACAGGGGAGAAACCAGGGAAACTGAGTTTCTCAACACAATAGCACTGATTCTTATCTTAAATACCATCTTCAGCTAAAGACAAAGGAGGATGTTGGGGGTGGGGGGAGTCAGCTATGGGAGATTCCCAGAAAAGCACAGTAAACATGAGTAAGGTTATTATGCAGATGTAAGGCCTCACCTTCCATATTGATAAGTTTCTAGAGATGAGGTCATCCCCCCTCTTCCCAGTACAGAGAGGGAGATACCTTTACAAACGGAGATTTCCCTTATAAATGTAAATGTTTGTCTGGCAACTCTTTGCAGGGCCATCTAGAGAATGTGGCCTGGGAGAGACTGAATTTTTGATAAGAGGGGCTTGGAGCCTTTCCTATTGTAACATCTATTTTACATGATAGTGGTTCCTTCCTGGAACAGGTCTT